CTCGGATTCGGATTCAGCGACCCCAAAAACATATAATAAACATGGTCTGATCCCCAGGCCAAAGAAATTTTTTTTTTTTGTGTGGCTGTGTTATTGATGAAATAATTGTCGGTGAAGTAAAGGTAACCCTTGACAAGAAAACTTGGCTTCTAGATAATGATATTTAAGAGAACTCGATCTCGTTTGAAGACTCGGCTTCTAAAACGCGTTAACGCACTGCCGAAGACTCGACCTCGAGAACGTGATCACGTTTATTGAAGGTTTCACTAATGATACGTTAACGTTTGTAGAGAATTCGATTTTTAAGACTCGGTCTTTTACGTGTTATTGCTGCAGCGGACGGAGAAGATCTGCCTATCATCGCGAAGAATTATCACGATCACAGGAAAAAGATGAGAATCGCCACGTTCTTGCGTGTTTTGTTAACATGTGAAATATCACATGCATTTATGTGGATAACGAAATCTCGATTTTGTCGATATATCGATCGAAATATGTCTCTACAGAACATATATATATATATAGGTATTCTCATATTAGATCATAACGTCGATCGGCACCAAAAATAAAAGCTTCGATTTGTTTACTGTAGACACGTGGACGCGCGACGTTCTACGTTTCTCGCTCGTTTTATACATCGAGATTTCCATGTTGGTAACATCGCAATTTGTGAAATCAATTGACGACAACGTAATTTTTCGAAATACATGAAATGTCATGCATTTTCCCATAGAAAATGTATTTAAAATATTAAATAAACTTTGCTACAGAGATCTTTCATGATACAATATTAAACATTTTCGCAACAAGTATATAATACAAGTTTTATGTTTTGTAATGATGATAGATAATATTATGAAGTGGTCTTCCGCACTATCCATGAGGTGCCACTAATAGCGCGTTAGGTTTTTTAACGTGGACCTTTGCTTGTAGCCTTATTTTACCACATTTTATTTTGCATCTGTTAGGTTTTTAAATTTGGATGTTGGATATATAGAATTCCTAGTGTTTTTTATATGGAAAGAAGTAAAATGACAATATTGTTAATTTTTTTATAAAAAAGTTTATTTTAAATTTATATATTATATAAATATAAATTCAATAATATAAAATATTATATTCTCTAAATGTTTTAGAGTGAAAGTTTTACTCTAATCATAGAGCCACTGACCAGCTCACTCCATGTGGAGTAAACATTCACTTCAATAGAATGAATTAATTAACTTTAAGACAAAAAGTGAAGAATTTCACTCTTATTTGTAAAGTAAAGTTAGTAGCGCGCCAAATTTCACTCTAGTTAAAAGTAAAATCGCCTTCTACTTGTCGGTATCAGTGCTTGTCGGTATCGATAAGCGATATTTAGCAAGATTCCGTTCAAAGTTCTTGTTGATGTGAACAAATAATATAAAGATGAATCCACCAGAGGTAAGTCGATTTACATATTTATATAAGTACATGTATAAAAATTAAAAGGATACGATTACCTCGAATGGAGATAAGTGAAGTAGTTTTGGAGGTTAAGATATTTTCTGCCTTTGGTCTCTAATATGTAATTCTACACGAACAAAGGGATTTGAAAACTCATTAAAATAATATATAAAATTAAATTCTAAAACGTTCTTTTTGAGGGATGCAGCCAAACACAGTGTAACAGTGTCCATAAGTCTGAGACAAAGCATATCAGTGTGTCCCACTTACACTACACTAGTGAACTGTGTTACACGGTGTCTTGCTAAAAAGCACTTGAGAAAGCGTTTTTTTTTTCAAGTAAAAGTTTTCTAATTAATTTAGTTTTTTTTAAATAAAATACACATTTGTCTTTGTAAATTTTTAATATATTTATTATTCATGATATAGATTTCGAGAGAATTTTCTGCAGTCTTTCCAGAAAATGATATATTTTTGGGAACTTTCTCTGTATTTTACACACCACGAATTTTGCAATATTGTCAAGAAGCAAAACCTTATCTCTTGGAATTGATCAAAGATCTTGAAGATAGTAAGTGTAGTCATTTATTAAAGTGTAAGAGTAAAATAAATAAATTGTTATCATAGAAATTAATATGTAATATTAGTTAACATGTTTTAAATATAAAAAGCAATTTTGTAGATCACTTGATATAGATAATTTTTATATATTTATATATTTTTTATTTATGATTTTAATAACAATTATATCTTTAGCTATTAAACAATATCTGGAATATTAATGCAAGTCAGTTTTATAAAGTATTAATTACTTATAATTAGAGTAATTATCTATTTTATTCAATTTTACTATAAATTATGAATATTTTTGTTTTCTTTATTCTCTTATTGTTCACAATTTTATTTTACAGATAATCCAAAAGCTTTGATTTTGCTGCCCGAACTGTTACCTATCCCGAATTACACAAAAAGAAAACAATCTGTAACTTATACTTCAAAAATGACTTTATAAGTGACTTTACATAGCACATATAATAAAATGAGTATTTTTTTGTAGGACAAAACAAAGTCAAGTTCTAAAACTTTTCAAAAAGTAAAAGCTCCAAAAAGATCCCAGCAAACACAGAATATAACTGCTATATAACAGAAGTAACAGCGTACTATACGTAATATATAACAGCTGTTATATTCTATTAACATCGATGTTATATAACTTTGTTTTATAATTGTAATATAATTATGTTATATATTTATTATATTGCTTGTTACTAGCTGGTAATGACATTATAACTTTCATATATCATTTCTGTAACTATATAACAATTATATTACATTCTACTTACATGTTATTATTCATATTATATAACTGCAATATACGATAAATAGGAAATTACAACTAACATGGATGTTACATGCAACGACCATGTTATATTACTTGTTACATTTGTTTTATTACGACAATGTTGCTGTTATATATCTGTGTTTGCTGGGATTTTTCTCAAAAAGTTGTACCAAATCCAAATTTACTTCAATTTGTTCATGTGACTAATAAACATATTAGAGTGATTCCTATTAAGTTAACTTGAAACAATATTGCCAACATTTTCAATATTGATAAGTCTCAATGTTTGTACTATAAGATAGTAAATTATGAAGACTTCCAAAACTATTGATAAATACAATATTTTACTGACATTCTGATTTTTGAATATTAGAACTTTATTAATTCTTTGTAAAATTGGATATAAAATTAAACACTTTATTTAAGCATTAGAAATAACTTGAATGTAATTTACAAAAAAGTTTTTTATTTTTACTTATTATTTTCAAATTTTTATACAAATTATTTTCGAAAATGACAAAAACATTTTATAAAAGAACAAATACAGAGAGAGAGAAGACTACTTTTTTCTTATATTAAAATTCATTTTTTACTTAGATTTTATAGAAACCCATCAATCTGATATGCGTATATTTATCATAAATCACAATGTACATTATGATTTTTACAATATGGCCAAAAATGAAATTCGTTTCATACTATTTTAATAATTTATAATTAATTCATTTTAATAATTTATAATTAATTCATTTTATATACAATATTTTCAGGCATCTGATGATCTTTTATTACAAGTTGCGCCTGCAAATCGAGGTAGTAGAAATATTCAACCATTTTTAGTTTCTTCTATGAGGAGACAAGAGAGGAAAGGAACTTATTATATAATGGTCGATGGCCATTTGATCCAGATTGGAGAGAATGCTATCATAGCATTTGATATTTTATTAAAGTTCCCCTACTGTTTTGATATTGAATTTGCTTCTAACTTAATAAACTTCTACGATTTCGTCACGGGTTGCGTAATAAAAATTCAAAAAAACCCAAAGGCATGCAGCATCGCACTACAAACAACGTTACAAAACGTTATATTCAAAGAAAATGATAGGAGGTATGTAATAACCAGCCTTTGTTTTTTTATATTCCATTTTTATATTCTCACTACTAAAAATTTTATAATTATATTAATAGTGACAAAAAGCTTGAAATTGAAAGAGAAATTGAAAGATATAAAAAACTGCAAATCAATTAAATCACTAAGACTGCAAGAAATTCAAGAAAACTAAGTATAATATTGCAGCAGTTAATATTGTTAACTGCTTATATTGCAGAGGTTTTTCATTTGTAAAGTACAAATAATATCGTTATGCTAGATCGCTAAATTAAAATTTAGCGCGAACTAATGCTCCTAATTAATCCCACCGTCATGTAACTTCGATCGTTTTGTTTCAATTCGTTTCCATTTCAAATTACACTCAAGATTATACATCTGTACATGTATACATGTATGGTGTTGCATTTACATACAGGTCATTACGACGGATTGCCTACTGTTCCACTGGCAGGCGCGCACGTCTGAGCGGCACTTCAGGTCTTACTGATATGGTTAGGTTTTTTCCAATGAAATATTTTAACAAAATACTCAAAACTATGAATATGAAAAAAACAACATGATATAAGCTAATTAATTAAAAGTGATAAGTGTGTAAAAATGAATAAAAAAAACTTTCTTTCCCAGAATTTTGTAATATTTTTGTTTAGAGTTGAAATCTTTTTGACAGAAATTACAGATTTTAAAGAGACAATATTTAATTATATATGTTTTAACAAAGTCTTAGAAAGTAGGCAAAAATATTATTGTTAATATTTTTAACGCCGTGGGCTCTGTTGCGGCCAGCTTCTCTTCTGTGTTTTCTTAAAATGAGAATCATTAATAAGAAAAGATTTCCAATTATTATAGTAACAATATAAATATTATATTATAGTAACAATATAAATATTATATTGAGTTACTAATAGTTGCATTATATTAAATAAATAACTTACTAGTCGAATTGTTCTGCATCTCCTGCTGCTGCTGTTGATACTGCTGCTGCTGCAATTGATGCTGCTGCAGTTGCAACATTTGTTGTTGCAACTGCTGTTGCACTAGCATTATGTTTTGCAACATTTGCTGCATAGATTATTCTTCTTCTGTTGAAAAACAAATCACATATATTTTATTAATCATTACATAAAACCAATATACTGATACGGGGTGCTTTCCAGCTACAGTTACAGTGTCTATTAGTGTGAGAAAGAGCATATCAGTGTGTCTCATTTGCACTAGTTGACACTGTATTACACAGTGTTGTTTGTGTTGTGACCATATATAGTACACGTAATATATTAAATATCTTTCTTATTATTATCTACTTCCTTCCTCAATTCTTTCCCACAACGGTACAAAGATTTTTTCCCTTTTTTTCTCAAACACAAAGTTCAAGTACAAACGTCTTTTTTCGAGTACAAGGATTCTTTTCCGAAATAAGTACCGCCCTCGAATAGGGCGCGCCAGTCAGTTTGTTACATCAAGTCGTGCGTGTCAGTTACTATAACCGATTGTCAAGTAACCATTGTCTCGGTCGTGCCGTCTATAAGTAATACTCTGCGAATTCTAAAGTGTAAGTGACAATTATAATAAAGAATATTGTAACTGTGAAAGTGAATAAAATTGTTCTTATTTAAACTAATTGAGATCGCAAATCTTACAGTGTAGCTGGAAAGCATCCACGATATATTGCTGTATAACTTTCAAATTGCTTGATTAAATACATTCTCCTGAGACAACAATCGATGACAAAGTTACTCAAAACTATTCTTTACTACACAATACAGCATATGCAATAATCACGAAAACAAACAACGTTCATATTAACACATGCAGCGCGCAAAAAAACACAGCAAAAATATACGAGATATTTGATATTTCTTATATATTTCTTTTGCTTTGACTTTTGAATAACTTTGTCATCCAATTTAGTATTAGAAAAATAATAATTTTATTTATTACTTACGGACATATCGTCTTTCATGGCGTGGCCTGTCTCACTTTCGTTAAGCGTCGCTCGTTTTTGTCTTTCTAACTAAAAGATGACAAGCGCTACGCGGGCGCGACTTACGCGAAACAAAAATCGCGCATGTGTTTCTGCCACGCTGTGCGCTGCATTCGTTGGTTTTCGTTATTAATGCGTATATCGTGTATTGTGTAGTGAAGAGTTGTGGCTTATATTGTTACATTTATTTTGTATATCATTTACATCAAATCTGTGATACTTTGTATCTATGATACTTATATTAATCTGTGATTATACTTCTACTATTTGATTGAGTGAAACTTCTTGCGAGTCTACGTATATTCTGTACGTTTAACTCGCTTGATTAAGAGGATGCTGAACTGACAAAGAAAGTCTGCCACAAATGCTACTTAGCAGCTACGCTGTCGGGTAGCTGGCGCCATCTCTCGGGATCGAGTCAAACAAAAACAAGAATAGATGACATGAAAAAGACAATGATAGACGTATGTCTTTTTCTTCTGGTGCAAAGTTTGGGAACTACGTAGTGCTTCGTGCAATGTTTTGACAAGAAAAATAACCTTTGTGTCTACAATTTACAGGTTCAATACTTTTTCTTCCTGCAAGCGTTCAAAGTGTTTTTTAATACTTTTGTAATATTCTTACAGGTTCTATCTAGCGGGCCAAAATGTGTTTTGTTAAATATAAACTGTTAAATGTCTAGACATACTTGATAATGTAAGGTAGTCAATTTTCTTAAAAAAAAATTTTTTGTTTCATAAATATTTATTATCTGGCGAGACTAGTTACACTGTTTTCTTTTATTGTAGAGAACCGTTTTCTCATTTGTGCAGTACATTTGACAAAAGTCATTATTCAGACATTTTACTATTTTTATGATAAAACAGGACGGTTCAGCATCCTCTTAAGTAACGTCGGTCAGAAAACTGATTTCAAAGTAAGTCATTAAACTTACCCTATATTTTTTCTTTTCATTGCCTTCTAATTTAATTTTTTGTTTTTTGTCTTTTTGTCGTATATTGAAACAATAAGTAACGCCAAGTAAAGTCTTGTACATTTTTTGTTATAAAATATAAAATATTCCAAATAGAAAGTTTAAAAAGTGTTATGCCACGGCCACCATGTGTTCTATGGTTGCTAGGCAAGCGGCGTTGAATATTACTCTAAAAAAAGTATTACTCT